CACAGCAAACGCAATATGATATCGATAACCGGGGACACAATGCAGTGCACGCGTGCACTCCCTTCCTTCCTGTTTTTACTGTCGCTACGTTTCACTGCGCTCTCAATAAAAACCCTTGGTACGGGAGTGTGGGAAGAGCACACAACCCTTACGCTATTGGCAGCTTGGGAGTGGGTGCTCTTCCATGTCTAACGATGGCTTAGATGATGTTGAGCAGCTAAGATGCTAACCATCGAGCCGATGGTGCGTCACCATCGTCAGATATCCCCCATCTGTACATACTCCCATCCAAGTCTACATGAGGTGAAACCGCCAGGACCGCCAGGTTACACTTTCCAACAAAGCAGAACCGGCGCCGGGGAAACGGTAGGTTTTACACGCTCGTCATCATTCGTTTGGTGTAAGTCATCTGCTCGTGTTCAATACCTGTCTTGTCCCTCCTGTATATGTCACGAACCATCCGGGTATCTGCCCAACGACCGTATTCCGCGATTTGCACGTCGTCCAGGCCAGCTTCGTGAAGGAGTACCACACCAGTGCGTCTCATGCTGTGAGTCGTGCAACCAGCACTTGAACCCGTCGCCGTTGAAACCAGCATCCGTATGTCCGTAGATAACTGTTCATAAGTTGCTCCGAAGATCCCTTCACCGCACGACTGAGTCGACCTCGGAGATTGGTCTATGTCGCGCACAAGTTGCAGCATTCGGTGAGTTGGACACCAGTTGTCCGTCGCACCGTGAGTCTTGGCTGTGGTTGTACAAGCGCATCCTACGTGCAGCGTCGTCCCCGATCTTCCAGGATCGGTCTTACTCCACTTGATGCGTAGCAGCATGGCTGTCTCGTCGGGGGTGAATGACACGTCGCTCCGACGCAACTCGCACAGTTCTCGGATCCTTAGTAATGCACTCACTCCGACCAAGAGGGCTACGGTGCTGGATCTTCTTCTAGACGGCGGCACGGTATACGAGACTTGGCCCTTCGAAGACCTTCACCCTTATAACTCCAGGAAGAAGTTGCAGCATCTCGATACGCTTTCCTCCCTGCGGCCTCAGATAAGCATCTATCAAAGAAACTTCTGAACTGACCCTCGGTAAAGCAGCTCCACAGAGGAATACCCGGCATAACTCGCTTCGAGATAGACCTTCGATACTTAGCGTCGGCCTCAAGAGCATCGCGACAAGATGACTCATCAGCCAAATAGCCAATCTCTAGTTGATACCTCGAAAATACGGTGCTATTCTGAGCGCACTCAGGATCTACGACCATAAGTGCAGTTGAATATCTGGCGAACTGCATCATCCACTTGCCCATGCTGAACCTGGGGGTAGGATTCTCTTTGTCCTTGCCCTCTTTCACCTCCTCTAAAACCACTACTACTGACCCAGTTACCGTGGGCCGGATGCGTTGCTTCGTTGTCGTCCCTGCATGGGACTCGCATGGGACTGCAAGTTCTTGAATTCAACGTAAGCTGCAGGCGACTTAATCATATTGTTCAAGACTCTCACATCGGGGAGGAGGTCAGGACTAAGGTAGCCGAGTGTCGCATTGGCCGTTCTTACCGAATTCAATGCACCATAATCCGGTGAGGCCGTAGCAGCTTTCGTCTGCGCGTATCCTTGTTCTAGCACACGACGAGCCTCGTCAGACATAGCCAGCCCGAACAACTTGGCTGCTTGTGCTCGAGCAGGATCGAGCCGTGGGAAGTCTCTGCCCACGTCGCCTTCTTGAAGCGCCAAGTTAGTTTCGATGAGAGACTTCCAGTCGCTCTCACTT